CGTTATGTTAGAAGAAAAGCAAAATTTTTGTTTGATGTATTGTGATATCGTTTTTGAGCTGCCAGGGGGCTGAAAATAAGCCTTTTTATCTTCCTCTAATCTTGTCTGGTACGCATTATCGAGAATATGGCTAATTCAGTTTGATGCGAAAAGCATCTAGAAGACTTTAAATAAAGATCTTTTACTATATTTCTTTGATTTCCTTTTAGTAAGATGTTACAGTACAACTAATCCATCAGGTTTTTGAAATAATACCTTGTGGGAAGGTCTCAAAAAGGAGAGGATCTTTCAGCATTACCTCTGAAATCTGTTTGTGTAGAGAAAAATAGCTCAACGAACTGCCTTTTAGCCAAAGATTTGTTACGTATTCCAGAATGTCTGACACAGAATGCGTAATGGAGCAGGCAATTATTGGAGAAGCAGCAAAAGATGCCCTCTGCTCCTCATCTGAACCACCTGATCCAGATCGATCAGCGGAACCGCCTCAGGATGATTCCTCGGTGAGCGATGAGACCCAGAAGTGTTGGTTTGAAGTTTTTGGCAATTGTTATCCCTCTATTTAAAAAAAAATTCAACTTTAACGTTACAGGAATTACTTTACATTCTAAACTGTACATACCCAAGAGGCGTGCGTTCAAAATGAAAGTTATTAGCTCTTACAAAGCCCTTCCTAACTATTTTAAAATCATATTAACTGATCATTAATGTGTATTAAATGTTACCCTTATTTTAGCAGGTGTAAACTATGAGGCGGCAGGGATTCTTTGAATCTCACTGGCATCAGCGGTAAAGTATTTATGTACAAGTTTTTCGTTGTGCTATGCCGCATTGAACTCGTCTAGAAAGTATCCAAAATTTTATTTAAATTAATTAATAAATTATTATGTCTTTCATCCCTTAGATTAGCTTTAAAAAAAGTTCAACAAACTTTTTCTGCTTATTATTAGACTCTTCGTGTTTTCTTCTCTCTCGAAAGATTTTATTGGGTTTTTATTTCAACAAATTCGTCGCTCGGAACTTTTAATAGAATACTGCGGCAGCTGTCCGCACTACCACCACGTTCTATATTC